GGGTAAACAAGCACGCATTGCTCTTACCTCATATGGAGCCGTCAGCTGCCTTGTGTGGAAAAAACAATATTCTCCATGGTCTTCTGTCTCATCTTCTGCTCATGCTAAGTCCATTTAGGAAAAAGGACAAAATATAACTCCTAAAACTGCTAAAACTTGATGCCACTTCGTTTTTATTTTTATTTACAGAAGAAGAAGAAGAAGACGTGTCTTCAGAGGTTTTTGTGTCTTTCAGTAGTTCTTGGTGCAGCGCCCCCACAGGCGAGCAGGGGAATAAGTTGGTTCAACAGGTTGACTCGACTGCACAGTGCAGTGTGAATGCAAACGCACCAGCTCAAATGTAAACAAAAGCTCAGGTCGTTTTCACACCAGATAGTCCGGTAGACTCAGTTCGGTTGGGGACCAATATTCATGAGCTTTTGTTTACATTTGAGCTGGTGAGTTTGCATTCACACTGCACTGTGCTGTCGAGTCAACCTGTTGAACCAACCTGTTCCCCCGCTCGCCTGTGGGGGCACTGCACCAAGAACTACTGAAAGAAACTTTAGACACAATTTTAACTACATTTGTACTTCACAAAAAGAACCAGTCCAAAATCTGCCTTTTTAAGTTTCACTGATTTTAATAATCAATTAGACCTTTGATACAAAGCTATTTGTTATTTATTTGTTTGTTATGCATAATTTTTCATCACATATATCACAGATTATTATTTTTATAATAAAATACATAAAATCAACCGAATTTGTGATTATTTTGACATATCTGTGTGTATTAACTGACTTGATGCCCTTTAAACATGAGAAAGAACTCACGTTTCAATTTACACTAATTTGGGGTTTAATGAGAGACTGATTTTTCCTCTAAAAGAAAGGTGGTGCCCACACACAACGTGGTTATTTGCATAATTGATGCATATCTTATGAGCTTAACTCATAACTGATAATTTAGAATATATATCCAGTCCCATATCACCCTACAAGTCTAACAGCCTCAGGGTAGAAGCTGTTCCTCAGCCTAGTGGTTCTGCACTTCATGCCCCTCAACCTTCTGCCTGAGGGGAGTGGGGAAAAAAAAAAAAAAAAAAAAAAAAGCAGAAATGAGAGCAATTCCTGTCATGGACTTGGACCTGTCCAGGGCGTCCCCCGCCTCTCACACAGTGATGGCTGGATATGGGCACCAGTGACCCCCTTAACCCAAAAGGGAAGAAGTGACTACCATACCAGCTTTATTCATAGAGCACTTTAAACACCCACAGGAGCAAAGTGCTGTACAGAGTAAAGGTAATGGATGGATGGATGGATGAGAACAAAACACAGCAACCCCCCCCCCCCCCCCACAAAACAAAAGGATCTGTGGTGGAAGTGGTCTCCAGTAGCTACAAGTACTTGGGGGTGCACCTGAATTACAACCTCAGCTGGGGCAACAACGCCACCAGCCTGATCAAGAAAGCTCATCAGAGACTCTACTTCCTCAGACGGCTGAGACGAGCTGGTCTTGGAAGCTCAGTCCTCACCTCCTTCTACAGGTGTGCAGTGGAGAGCACCCTGTGCTCCAGCATCAACGTGTGGCATGGAGGCTGCACAGCTGCAGAAAGAAAAGCTTTGCAGAGAGTGGTGAAAGCTGCACAGAAGTCTGTTGGAGTCAGCCTCCCCACCATCACAGACATTTTCACCTCTAGATGCAGGAAGAGGGCCACCTGCACCATGAAGGACCCCACTCACCCAGCACACACATGTTTTGCCCTGCTCCCCCCAGGAAGGAGGTTAAGGAGCATTAAATGTAGAACCACTAGACTGAGGAACAGCTTCTACCCTGAGACTGTTAGACTCATGAATCCCTAATCAGGATAATCACTGAAAAATTACATCATGTTGCTGCTGATCTGTTTCATGCTGATGTGTTCCTTCATACTCATCTTGTGATGATTTCTAGGCAAGAGACCCATTGGTGCAGGCAGACAGGCAGGACTTAGGGAATATAAATAAATAATGTATTATTTACCAAATAAAGATGGCTGACGGGGCAGCAGACTTACATAAATCATGGGACAGGATGCAGGACACAAGGCACAGGACACAAGGAGCAGAACAGGTATCACAGGGACACTGACCAGACAATGAGGGATGCAGGCAAACAGACTTAAATACACACACTAACAAGACTAACACAGAACACCTGTGAAACATCACAGGTGAAGACATCAGAGGGGGAGCAGACAAGTACAGAGACCAGGGAAAGCACAACTCCTACAGCCCCCCCCCCCCCCCCCCCAACGACATCCCTTGATGTCTCCAAGACCCCCACACCCCCAAAACGTGGGTGGGAGAAGGGCGCTAGGAAAAAAAAGAGACATGAGGTGGACGAAGAACTGGACAGGTTCACCAGGGGCAAGGCACAACACACGGAAACACAAGGAGGTCAGAGTTCAGGTCGGGAACTGTGAGGTTGTCCAAAAAGCAGGAACAGGTTAGACGGGCGGCAGGGAGACCATTCACCAGGCCAGGGCCAGTCAGGCAGGCGGCAAGGAGGTCGTCCAACAGGCTGAAACAGGTCAGGAAGGCTAGGAGCAAGGCACTCAGTAGGCAGGCCAGCAGCGGCGAGGAACTCAGCAGGCGGGTCAGCAGCGGCGAGGAACTCAGCAGGCGGACCAGGAGTGGCAAGGAACTCAGCAGGCGGGCCAAAAGCAGCGAAGAACTCAGTAGGTGGACTAGGAGCGGCGAGGAACTCAGCAGGCGGACCAGGAGCGGCGAGGAACTCAGTAGGTGGACCAGAAGCGAGGAACTCAGCAGGAGGACCAGCAGCAGTGTGGGATCTACCTTGGGGGCTGTGTGCAGCATGGGATCCACCTCGGGGGCTGCGTGCAGCGGCAGGATCTGGAGTAGACGTGGAACTCAGGACCAAGTCAGGCTCTGGAACTGGGGCAGGTGAGTCTGGGTCTGTGGGCTCAGGATAGGTTGGGTCCTGACACGTGGATGCGTGGATGTGACAGAGGCTGCAAGAGATGGAAAAACTATGGGGACTGTAGTAGGCATGGGAGCAACAGCTTCTGTGAGGACCTCAGGAGCCAGGATCAGGAACCGAGGAAGCACCGGGGGTGTTGCTGGAGGCTCTGTCTCTAAAATGACTCCACAGCTTGTCTTCCAGGGATGGAGCAGTGAGAGTCGGGCTGCCTGCTGGGTCTTGGTTTGGTCTGGTCATTCTGTGATGATTTCTAGGCAGGAGACCCATTGGTGCAGGTAGGACTCAGGGGATATGGATAAATAATTTATTATTTACAAAATAAAGATGGCTGATGGGGCAGCAGACTTTCATAAATCATCGGACAGGACATATGACACAAGGAGCAGGACACGAGGAGCAGGACACGAGGAGCAAGACACGAGGAGCAGGACACGAGGAGCAGGACACGAGGAGCAGGACATGCATCAAAGGGACACAATGACCAGACAATGAGGGATGCAGGCAAACAGACTTAAATACACACACTAACAAGATTAACACATAACACCTGTGAAACATCACATGTGCAGCTATCAGAGGGGGAGCAGACAAGTATAGAACACTAGAGGGAGACAGAGACCAGGGAAAGCACAACTCCTACACATCTGCTCACACAGACTCATATTCGTGCTGCTGTTCGGCATAATTTTTTTATGCTACTAGTTCTTAGTGTATATTTGGTTGATGTTTTTCTTATATATTCATATCTTAGATCTTATTACTGTTTTTCTTTTACATTTTATTGTTGGATGTAACTGGGACCATGTGTACATAATTTAATTCCACCACGTGTACCACATGGGGTGCAAATGACAAATAAAGAACCTTGAATCCTTGAAAAGGTAGAAATTATTTGAAAAAAGTATAAATTTAAATTTGCAAAAATGGAAAAGGGACTGTACTTATAATAGCACTTTTATATTTTATCAAGATACTCAAAGCTGTGTCCTCATTTACCCATTCATACAGCACCCTACTAGATCTTTACAAAGATGATCAGTGTTTTATATTATTCAAACACTGATGGGACACACATTGGAGGCAATGAGGGGTTCAGTGTCTTGCCTAGGGACACTTTGGCATGTGAATGCTGGTGGAATTGAACCCCCAACTCTTGCATTGGAGGACAATTGCTCTAGCCACTCAGTCACAGCCACCCCAGCTAAAAAAAAAAACCCAGCTGAAATGTAGCTAAAAAGGCAGAAATAAGTTTAAATTACCAGAAGGAAATGGAGAGAGCACATTTTTGCTGATGTAGGATGAAAAAAGTCGAAATGAGTGCAAAAAATGTGGAATAAACTAAAAAGCTAAAATTAGCATAAAATAGCTAAATAATAGTTGAAATAGCAAAAAAATGCTGAAACGGGCAGAAATAAGCTGAAATTAGTATAAGAAGCTGAAATTAGCCAAAAGAAGTTAGAAGAAGCATAAAAATGCTGCATTTAGCTGAAAGAAGCTGAAAGGTGCACAAAACAGCTGGAAAAAACCCAGCTGAAATACGCTGAAAGAAGTTGAAGTAGAACAAAATGTGAAAGGAGCAGTAAAAGGTTGTAAACAGATCTAAACATTTGAAGGAGGTAACATGAGCTCAATTCTTTTTCTATGAGGAAAAAATGTCAGAAAAGGCTAAATATTTCAAAAAGCTAAAGTTGCACCAATACCAAAAGTCATAGCATTATTGTTATGAAAGAGCTGAACGTTTTGATTTATGATTTGTTGAAATAGCTTGAAAACTGCAGGACAAGAACAATGCTGAAAAATGTATGGAAGAAGACAGAAGTGAGTGGATAAGATCACAAAATAAAACGATGTAACATTTTTACAAAATCAGTAATTTGTTTTAAATATACATACATTCACAAAAAAAGAACAATACAACCAATCATCTAACAATTACAGAAAATAAAAAACAATAACTATATTCAAAAATTAATACTCATTAGCAGTTGTGCACAAAGATGTATTTAATATATGTAATTTAAAAAAATGTTTTTTACCTAATATCTTGTGAACTGAAAGGGACTACATGGATGCCCAGGGGCCCTCCTTCATTGGACACTTCAACTGGTTTGAGCATGCCTCTGCAGGACGTTGACGGATGATGCCAGGAACAAAAGAATAAAAAGGGAGAGGACATGCATGAATATAATAAATAATTAACATGAGTGACACAAAGATCTAAGAATACAAAATGTAACAGGCAACACAATTAAATGTGACAAAAGGTTGGCAGGATGGAAGGGATGGAAGCCTTTTTAGTGGGGGCTCCACCATCTTGCCTACACAAAATCATTCATTACAAAGTCTGACAAGTGGATGTCAGGGTCAGTTAGGAAACCAAAAGGAGACTCCAATTAAGAGATTAGGATCAGACCATTAAAAGAGAATGATTTAATTGAAAACATGTGAGTGAATAAAGGAAAAGGGAGAAAAAGGTTAATTTGTGAAGATAAAGACTAAGACAAATGAACAAATGCAACCGTCAGTGCAGATGTTTGATGTTCATGATGTAAAACCTTAATAAATGGTTTGATTTTGGAATCAATGTTCTCATAAATACTATTTATTGTTTTGTGTTTTACTTGAAATAAAAGCTAAACACCATCACCAAAATACACACCATAGTGCACTATCTCACTGTATAAAACCTTTAGACAAAGTTAGGGGCGCAAACATGAAAGCATGGAAATGCTTATTACTATTGCCTGTTATTCTGCTGTTACTTTCAGTATTTTCAATTTGCTGCTACTCCCCCAGCTTTGGAAAACTTGTGCAAAAAACAATATTAACTCATGTGGCTCCAAAGGTAAAAGTGTACCATGAATTTAAACCTGGAAAATGTAAACATATACAACAAGGGGATATTTATAAAATAAATAAAAATTAAACTAGTTCTGCATTATTGGCAGAACTAGTGGGTCGCTAACCCTAACCCAATGTGATGAAGAGGGAGGTGAGCTGTAAGGCAAAGTTCTCTGTTTACCAGTCTGTCTACGTTCCTACCCTCGCCTATGGTCATGAAGTCTGAGTGGTGACTGAAAGAATGAGATCGTGGATACAGGCGGTCAAAATGAGTTTCCTCTGCAGTCCCTTAGAGATAAGATGAGAAGTTCAGTTATCTGGGAGAGACAGAGTAGAACCACTGCTCCTCCACGTCAAAAGGAGCCAGTTGTGGTGGTTTGGGCATCTGGTAAGGATGATTCCTGGGCCCTCCCTAGGGAGGTGCTTCAGGCATGACCGACTGGGAGGAGACCCTGGGGAAGACCCAAAACATGCTAGAACATGCTGGAGAGACTACATGTCAGTTCCAAAAACAATTTACTTTCCATTACGGAGTTGGAAGTTTCTTATATACTGTATTTTAATGAGTTTTACACAATCACGAATGTGGAATTTTGTAAAACATTTTACCACAGAATGCTAAAGTTAGCATGATGATGCCAACCAGTCTACATTTTGAGCTGTTTAAAGTTTACACAATTTTGCAATCAAATTTCCCATTACCACAAATCTACACATTTTACATCAAAATGTAGACAGTTTGGCTTTCTTGCACTTAGTATGTCTTGCACTGTAAAGGACTTTTGATTGTCTCTCAAATTTCCTGAGTTGAGAGAGAACACATTAATACTGCCTTTGACATGTATTGTACTTGAGCTCAGCGTTTTCATTTAAAATAGGAAGTAAAAGGTATCAATACCTTGTCAAATATATTACATAAAACACTGTAGATGCATAAATGTTTACACTTATAGACGTTCACGTAGAAACCTCTTTTTTTTTTCTTCTTTCAGCTGCACCCTTCTTTGGGGTCGGCACAAGGAACTAACTCGCATGAAGTCTTGACATTTTTTTTTTTTACTCCGGCTGCCCTTCTTAATGCAACCACAGACTGAGCTACCACAGCCGTCGTCTGTGTGGAGCAAAGAGCTGCCATCTAAGGTGTCTGGGGGAGCAGATGGTGGGGGTTAAGGGACCTTGCTCAAGGGTCCAGATTGGGGCAAATGAGTGTGGAGGCAGGTGTGGGTGTTTCACCTTTCCCACACACACTTTGATGTTGTTGTGAGTTGAACCAGCGACAGTGGTGGCTGATGGAGTTTTGTCCAGGGGGGGCTATAAGTGTGTGGAGTGGAAATGTCCATTGTTTCATCAGCCTGGATGGAGACAAAATCTGCACTCATGATTGCTTCAATGATGCACTCTCTTAAAACTGACAGCATACAATCAAGGAGTACATTCTTCACAGTCTTAGATGTTCCCTTAAACACTGTGGCAGTCTGCAGGTGCGCATGTAGAACTGCATCCAGTAATGCTACAAAATCCACCAATCCTCTAAAAACACCCGGATTTTCTGAGCTTTCACTTTCATCATGGCCACGCAGGACAAGTTCAAATGCACCATAGAACTTGACACAGTCTATTATTTTTGATAGAATGTGCCTGTTTTTCCTCCCCATTGTGCCTACGGATCCCTACCCTGTAGCCTTCATCAAGTTGAGATGAAATGTTTATTTTCCCAAACATGACTACTCGCAGTGCATTTTCCATGTGAATCCCAGATTGTTCATGCTTCTTTGCCTTTTCTAAAAAAAATGCTTTAAATCAGTCATACCTGTCATAATCCATGCTGAGTCAGATCCTGATGTTTTTAAAAAGAGGCAGGGAAAGCAGAATAATGCATTAGCCTCACTACATGCAGTTAGCCAAGTCTTCTTGCTAAACCAGGTCCTGGAAAAAGACCAAGTGTACCGTCTCCCTCTGTCTTTGGACTGCTGATTAATTGTGATGTTCGGCTACAGGTCCAAGCTCTTTCACCTCTAGCTTCTCCTGATATGTTATTCTCTCAAAATGTATTGTTTTAAGTGACTTCACTGAATTATTTAATTTATCTTGCTCCATTTTGCATCTCTGTCTGATCGTCTCCAACTCCCGCGGCTCGCCCTGTCAATCAGGTGAACTTTATAACAGACGGCTGTGACGTCAGCCCGGTGGGTGAGGGTGGGTGATATGTAAATCAAGCTGCATTCAGCTCTGGGCGCAGCAGAGGTGCGCCCAAGAATGCTCCTATAATTTGTACTGAACAGGAGCTACTGCACATGTACAACTTTTAACGAGAGTCTATGGGCAAAGATTTTTGTGCCCCAGTGCGGAAATACATCACTAATCAGACAACGTCAACAAACAAAACAACTTTACTCATCAATAACTATAAAATATTTATCCTACACAACTAAAAAAATATACATACATTTCAAAATATTTTCATTTTATTATTTCATTTTTATTTAACTTTTTTAGGTCTTATTTAAGGTAATGTGGCGAGTGGTGGGGAAGAGCCCTTGTGCCCTGTATTGGCCAGCTCACTGACTGGTGACCTTCCAGTCACAGGCCAATCTTCTTTAAACCTCTGCTCCACCACTCTCCAAGGTAGTAACCTAATTGGTGCCCTAAAAAGTTTATTCTGAAATATCTTAGTTTCTACCTGTAAGTGTACCAATTCAAAATACATAACTACATGAGTACACAACTGTTGATAATAAAAACCTTTAGGTTGTGAATGTTGTAAAAGTGTGTGTGTCTATGTGTGTGTGTGTGTGTGTGGGTGGGGGG